CCCCCAAAACCCCAAAACCCCAAAACCCCAAAACCCCTCTATTCTGGTTCTTGGTTGAATCATCCAGATAATGAGAAAAGTTTCTGGTGTCTAATTCTTAGCCTAAAATACCGACAACTGCAGCACCGATGGCCCAGATCATGATCTGGCTAGCTTTTCCAAATTGGTGGTTCCAATAAGCAGTGGTAATACTTTCTGCGACACATCTATCATTATCAGCTACATTGATAGAAACTTGAGGATCTCTGAAAATCTGTCTTGCTCTAGTATAATTCAGGCCAATATCTCCCTGTGCGTGGATAGTTAGGTTATAGTCGAGACAAAGAGAACCAAGCTCAGCATTTAGTTTAGAAGATTTGTGACAATCAGAATCTGTGACTGGTCCTTCAAAAGGAGTTAGAGAGTTTACCATAAAATCATCACCTATCTCAACTGGTCAAAAGCTACTATCATTCCTGTTGAAGCCACAGCCTGCAGTACCATGCGAGATTGACTCTTCGTCGAACTTGGTCACGTCAGGGCTGACATAAGCGGTGATATTGCAGTTATTTTTAGGCACGATGATGCGTAGGTCCTGGTCGATCCGTTTGGAAGCTTGCCTGCATTGGAAGATTTCGCCGATCTTGAAGTGGTTTCTGGTTGATCATACGTGGATATCGGTCAGTGGGTTGCCGTCTGGTTTTAGAGAGGTCTCTGGAACTGTGAATTGGTCTCCATTTTGAAGAGTATAGTGCTTAACGCATTTAAAATCTTCATCTCCTTGCTTTGCACAACTACGTCCAAACCTGCATTCATTCTCATTTGCGCATGCATCACCTTCATTACCCTGATTTGTACATTTTTGTTCTTTACAATATAAATTCCTTGGGCAATCTAGGTCATCGAATCAATCATCTCCTTCTGCAGTAGATGCTTTACAACAAGCTCCTTTCTCGCATGCTCCTTCCTTAGCACAGGTTGCTTTATTCCTCTCAGTACTATACTCTAATATTAACAGCTTTTAACCCCAATAATCCCCACAATACAACAACTACCAATAAAATCAACTTTAAAACTCTGCGGTACAACCCCTAGTCATTTCCGAAGATAAAATTTCCAAAGCGTGGATACAAAATTCATCGTTTTATTAGTAAAACCTAAAATAACCTCCCTTGCTTACCTATATCAATTAGAGTCTTGATTGCATATATCACCATCTATTGAAAGATTGAATCTATCCCTAAACTCTCCTTGCCAAGGCAAAATAGGGAGCCAATCAGAGCAAAGGCTTGATTCTGAGGCAGCACCAGGACTCGTCCAATTAAAGGACTGGCAAATAAGCTCATTCCTATATCATTTCTGGGCATGCCATAAAATACTACCCTTTCCTTGTCTCTCCATACAAGCTGGGGTTTGTGCCTTCGCATCTTGTTCTATTTCTCCACAGACGAATACATTTCAACTCTCTTCACAGAGGGCGAGTGCCATTATGGCTGGTAATAGTAGTAATATTTTCATAATATTATTATTCCACAATAAGCTAAGTAAAAGGGGTTTTGGGGTTTTGGGGTTTTGGGGTTTTGGGGTTTTGGGGTTTTGGGG